GTGTGTGTGTGTGTGTGTGTGTGTGTGTGTGTACATTTATTATACATTTATTCGTCTCAAAAAGATCATAAGTAGAAAAATCCATAAAAATTATCAAAATTTTTTGACAGAGTTATTCTAAAAAGGTTGTTTTTTGAGTAAACGGCTCGTCTCGTTTAAAAATCTAAGATTTGATACATCTTAATTTTGTATCTTATTTACCTTACTTGACTGCTGTTCTAAGTATTGTTTTCTTTTTTCTATAAAAGTACATCTTGCACCAATAGTAGGTATTAATTCCATTAATATTTCCTCTGAAATATTTAACAATAATGATGGGCTTATTTCTTGTTCTATAAAAATAAAATCAATTATTGTTATACTATATCTTACTTTTATGACAGTAAATGTTTACAAACATTTATAAGAGCATACCCAGAAATTTAGATGACCACTTTTCAAGACCCCATTGTTTTAAAGTTTTAACAATAAATTCTTCGTCACTCATTATAAAACAACGTGTTGCGTATACTAAAAAAAAATCAATATTATAAAAGGACATTCGTAACGCTTAGCTCAACTTTCTTTGTACTACACAGGAATAACTTAAAGCAACTTCATGTTATATAAAAATTAAAAGCATTCTATTTGTCTTTATCATGTAGCAGTGATAAAGACAAAATGCTACTATGAACACAAAACATCGCAAAACTGAATGTAATCAAAAAAAATATTCATAAAATCTATTAGAAACAAATCTATGAAGGGTACAATAGATCCAAAAACCAAACACATTTCTTTATGGCGAAAACTTGAGTTATAACCTGTCCCATAATCATTTACAGATTTATACTTACGAAGATAATAATATAGCTTTATCCATACACGAAATTTCTATAATTTTCACACTATAAGTATCACTGAGATAACAAATAAGTTGTAACACCGCATGAAAGATATACCCGCACACTTGCCACAAAACAGAATCGAGCAACTTCTCGCATCGCTCATGTGAACGGCGAACCAAGAAGACAAACGAAAATCGTTCCTTGTTGACGGTTGGCGCCTATTTCTCAGTAGCATGCCGTGTATCCATGCGCGCTGCTAGACTATAGCGCTCTTGTATACCAAATCAAAATGTTTGATTAACGGAACAAAACAATTTTATTTAAATCATTATATTTCTTCTGTTTATGTATAAAATCTATATTTACTTCGTAAAAAAAAATTTCACTTCTTAAGGATTATTCTATAGTACATTGAAACAAATTTTTAGTATATTATGCAATTTTTCATAAATTAATTAAATAAAATACTTAAGCTTTTTTTGTACATAAACTCTAAGAACAAAATCGTTTAGTCCACGGAACAAAACAAAAAAATGTATTTTGCAGAAGCAACTAAATTTATTATTATATCAAACAAAATATTTGGTTGCTGTTAATAACCGTTTCAACCAAACAGTTTTATCAAAATTACTAAATTTTTTTTCCTAGTGTACATGTAAAAAAAGTAAAAATAACTTTTCTTTAGAGTAATGAATCGAGGCTTGAATCAACATATCGGAGACGACGCACCACATCAGTTGAACAAATTCATTCTTGTTTTCCCTATCCTTCTTTCCAAATAAAAGAGCCTCCCAGTTTCAAAAATTTTTGTAAAAGATCTCACACACACACACACACAAACACACACATCATAAATAATAAAATAAAAACTTTCACTTAAATGTCAGCACACTGGAGATATTGGATCTGCTAACAAAAAATGACCGACAGACCATAAAGCTATCTGTTGTTGTGCGTTGTTTGTATATTTCCTCCTCCCTGCGACGAAAAATGTTGCGGTTTTTCCCCCCCCCCCCCCCCCCCGCCACTTTATCGAATTTACATCTTCCATTTTATCGGGAGACCACACAGTGATTCAAAAAGCCTAAATTCTTGGACATTGTGTGAAAAAGTGAAGTATCGGATATTAACCTTTATAAGTAGTGAAAATATTTAGTACCTACATTTCCCTTTTTCAATATTATATGGCATTTAATTAAATAAAAAAATAGTTGCAGTCATCTAATTTTAAGCATTTTTAATTCTTCTTAAGTTAAATAAAATGTAGAATATTGTTGAATACAAATTCATTACAAATAAAAGAATTTTTTATAACAAATATTATGCCACTTTTTTCGTCTCGTTGAGTATTATACTTCCTCGATAATAAACTGAAAATAGTCAATTTTAGATGCCTTATTTTATTTTCGCATTTTATTAACAAAGATGTTTAAAATCTGATTTTCAATAATGATTTAAAAAAAAAGCTCAGTGCCAGAATATTCCACATTTTATTCAACTTAGGAAGACTTAAAAATGCTTGACATTAAATGATTGTAAATATTTTTCCATTTAATTAAATGCCATACAATATTGAAAAAAGAGAAATGTATGTACTTATATAGTATACTAAATATTTTCACTAATTAAAGGGTAATTCTCTCTCTCTCTCTCTCTCTCTCTCTCTC